GCCCCCGCCGCCCCCTGGCGCTCACAGCCCCCCTCCCCCACAGACCCTCTGGGCGCCCACCGACCCCCTCCCCCACAGGGCCCCCACAGACCCCTGGGCGCCCACCGACCCCCTACCCTCACAGACCCCCGCCGCCCTCTGGCGCCCACCGACCCCCACCACACCCTGGGCCCCCACAGGTCCCCGACCCCCCGCCACCCCCGGGCGCCCACCGATCTCCTCCCCCCACAGACCCCCTGCTACCTTCTGGGCCCCCACAGACCCCCTGCTACCCTCTGGGCGCTCACTGACCCCCTCCCCCCTGCTACCTCCTGGGTGCTCACTGACCCCCTTCCCCCACAGCCCCCCCGCCGCCCCCTGGGCCCCCACAGACCTCTGCCCCCCACAGACCCCCACCGCCCCCTGGCACTCACAGCCCCCCTCCCCCACAGCTCCCGCCCCACCGCTGCCCCCATGGCCCCCACCGACCACCAACCCCCTGCCGCCCCCTGGTCCCCCACCAACCCCCTTTGCCCCTGACCTCCCCCGCCCCCTGGGCCCCCCCCGATCCCCTTCCCCCCCGCTGCCCCTTGGGCGCCCACCGATCCCCTCTCCCCCCCCCCCAACAGACCCCCGGCGCACGCTGGGCGCCCACTGACCCCCACACCCCCGACGCCCCCTGGGCGCCCACAGACCCTGTCCCCCTGCCGCCCCCTGGGCACCCACAGACCTCCTCCCCCCACAGACTCTCACACACACACCGGGTTCAGGGGGAGCACCATAGAGCCCCTCCACCCCCTGGGTGCCAACAGCCCCCCTCACTCCCCACAGACCCCCTCTGGGTGCAGGGGAAACCCCACAGACCGCTGCTCCCCACAGACCCCTGTGGCCCACTGGGCTCAGGGGGAGCCTCCCAAGTGTTTCCTTCCCCAGGGGTTTGGGGATGAGATGCTTCCCTATGGACAACTCCCCCTGAGATTGTGAGGCCTACAGACATTTCCTCCCCAGGGAGTGGGGCTAAGGGTTATCCCTACAGATACTCCGAACACAATGTGAGGGTGGAGGCGCTGGATCCCAGAGACACCCCTTTACAGAGGTGCAAAGTACTCCACTTAGAAAGGAACAATCAGTTGCACACATACAAAATGGGAAATGACTGCCTAGGAAGGAGTATCGCGGAAAGGGATCTGGGGGTCATAGTGGATCACAAGCTAAATAGGAGTCAACAGTGTAACACTGTTGCAAAAAAAGCAAACATCCTTCTGGGATGTATTAGCAGGAGTATTGTAGGCAAGACGCGAGAAGTAATTCTTCCGCTCTTCTCCACTCTACTCTGCGCTGATTAGGCTTCAACTGGAGTATTGTGTCCAGTTCTGGGCGCCACATTTCAGGAAAGATGTGGACAAATTGGAGAAAGTCCAGAGAAGAGCAACAAAAATGATTAAAGGTCTAGAAAACATGACCTCTGAGGGAAGATTGAAAAAATTGGGTTTGTTTAGTCCGGAGAAGAGAAAACTGAGAGGGGACATGATAGCAGTTTTCAAGTACATAAAAGGTTGTTACAAGAAGGAGGGAGAAAAATTGTTGTTCTTAACCTCTGAGGATAGGACAAGAAGCAATGAGTTTAAATTGCAGCAAGGGCGGTTTAGGTTGGACATTAGGAAAAACTTCCTGTCAGAATGGTTACGCACTGGAATAAATTGCCTAGGGAAGTTGTGAAATCTCCATCATTGGGGATTTTTAAGAGGAGGTTGGACAAACACCTGGCAGGGTTGGTCTAGATCAGGGGTGGGCAAACTTTTTGGCCCGAGGGCCACATGGGTCATGCAGGAGTCTGGCCTGTTGGCCAAGCTTCCATGAGTATCAGCCTGATAACTTCAGTGTTTTCCTGACCCCATTCCTCCAGCACTGTTAGCTGGGCTTCACATGCTCGCTTTATCTGTCATCTAAACTTGGTGCCACTGTTCTGTTCCAGTGGCCATTCTACTGTGCCTCACAGATTATAATGGTCACTTTAGCCATACTGGATTATGCCTGACAAAACTGGCTTTCTGTCTTTTGTTTTGTGAGGCAGTTCTGCCTCTAGACCAGGGGTTCTCAAACTGGGGAGCGTGGAATGTATTCCCGGGGGCGGCATGAGATGTTTTTTTGGTTGGGGGGGGAGGGAGGAGAAAGACTTGTTGCGCACATTTTACCCACAGCAATGCGTAACTAGCAAAACGGATTCCTCCAGACACCATAGGTCCTCAGATGGTGCTGTGCTTTATGACGGATTTTTGTTTAAGCTTGCATAGTATCATACAAAGTCGTTGCCATCTGTACGTTAATCTGTTTGCTACGACGCAGTGTGCACATTTAATTGTACACGTGGACCACAATCACACTTTTGCTTTTTCTCTTATTACAATGGGTCGTTGGCTCAAAAAATAACCAACGCAAGTGAAAAACAGAAGCCGAAACTGATTCAAGTGAAACACCGCCACTGCATATGTTGGTATATGTACTTGTGTGACAGGGGTGGGGCGTAAACTACTACAGACAAAGAAGGGGGGGGTGATCAAATAAGTTTGAAAACCACTGCTCTAGACAGTGGCACTTTAGCATGGCATGTGACTTGGATAACAGAGAGCTTGCTGTACGTGAGCACATGGTCTACAGTCCTACAAGCCGTTCCATGTGGGCAGACTCCCTGTGCCCACACAGCAGTTTGCAGGCTTCAGTGACATAACATCTTTTTTAGGCGAAATATATATGGATGTTTCTATTGGCACAGATATGTGCTTGAAGCAGAGAATGCTGCTAGCAGTTTGAACAAGAGTTTGTCACCCACTGGAAGTGAAAGCCTTTCATTGCACTATGTACTTTATTGAATATGTTAAATTACTGTTTCCTGTTTGAACAAATTCCAATAGAGTGGAAGACCAGCGTTACAAAAACGAGTGCATTCTGCACCTTGATGGTAGTTCTTAGTTCTATTATTACAGCTTTATGGAGAGTGTGGGTTATATGTTTTAGAATGTTAGTATAATACACTGGTTTAATGATTTGGATAGTCTCTCTCTTGGGGCTGACTCTTGGAAACTAATAGCTTGGGTATACAGTTTAAGGCGTTCCCTAGCTCAAGTGGAAGAGGCTGGTGACTTTGATTCTGAAGATTCTGGGTTTACTCTCTGCTGATGACCATTGGTGTCTGTACACAGACAGTTTGTAATAATAGCTTTTTCAACTTTTGGTAGTTTGTTCAATCAATAAACAAGTGGCTAATTATAAAGTAATACAGGAAGTATTGTAACATGTAAAGTGGTTAAAGGCTTGTACCTCTACTGAAAAACATTAACTTCCAAACTATGCTAATATCAAATGCTTTATCAATTAATGGATCTTTGCTTAATTAACCCCAAAATATATAGTCTGAGATGAGAGGGAAGAGAAAACGTGTCTGGGATAAATAAAGAGAAATGGAAGTTGTGTTTAGCCATCCAAGCTCCATCATTCATGCTTGGTAAAAGATGTCAATCTACAGTAGGCCTTGCAAGAGGCAAGCCAATCATAAGAACATAAGAGCTGTCATAGTGGGTCAGACCATGGTCCATAACCCTGTTATTTTAGAAGTGTTTTCCCAACTTGTGGAGATAAATAATTAGCCCTGCTGTTTTATAATCTCATTGACTTTTGTGTTTTGAGAACTCATATTTTCATTTCATCCAACTTTTGTTTAAAATACCTTTTTGTTTACCCTAAAAACCTATTCTCAGGAATTATTCTGTTTGGGATTGTAAGTGTGCTTTTGTTATGCACCTTGCATTTCTTTTGACCCTTCTTTTGTTCACTTAGTCTTTATTACATTTTAGAATCCTATTAGATTGAACTCTAAACTTTTCTAGCATCTTAGTTCTGATTTCTCAAGGAGTGAATCTGCCAAAATGATGATTGAGACTTGAAATAGAAGTTAACTTTTGAAAAATCTAATTACTTTCTATGAACGGCTGCTAGCTTATTTCTAAATAGAAATGAGACACAGCTAATCTAGTCTGTGCTTTCAGAAAAGTGCTATTGAAAAATCTGGCCACTTTATTAAGGTGCCGGAATGGGAGTTGGGCTTTTAAGTTTTATTGGTTTCTCCATGATAGGCAACTAACATGTGATGTTGTTAACAGCTGTTTGCAGAAAGAAGAAAGATGGAAAGTAATGCAGTTTTGCTAGAATCAAAGTCCTCGCCGATAAATCTTCTGAACGAAATGCATCAGCTGCGTCTTCTGGGCCATCTTTGTGATGTAACGGTTAGCGTGGAGTATCAAGGTGTCAGGGGAGAGTTTGTTGCTCACAAAGCTGTATTGGCAGCAACAAGCAAGTTCTTCAAGGAGGTGTTTCTTAATGAGAAGAGCATGGATAGCTCAAGGACAAATGTGTTCTTGAATGAGGTCCAGGTAGCTGATTTTGCTTCATTTCTTGAGTTTGTCTATACTGCCAAGGTAGAAGTGGAGGAAGACCGAGTGCAACGTATGCTGGAAATAGCCGAAAAGCTTAAGTGCTTGGACCTGTCTGAAACCTGTTTTCAGCTGAAGAAGCAGATGCTTGAATCAGTGTTGTTGGAGTTGCAAAATTTCTCTGAATCGCAGGATGCTGAGGACGACAGTGGTACCCAATCAAATGCTTTAGTTGAGTTGAAGACAATTGTTGTGGCGGAAGGTGACCGTACAGGCTGTCCTCCTGATTCTCCCAATTCCCCCATGGAAAGACCCAGCAATGGAGTGTCTCCTGAGAGGCCAACTGCCAAATCAAAAGAGAAGGTTGACAAGAAAAAAGAAACCATGAAGCCTCCCTATGCCAAAATCAGAAGGGCCAGTGGGAGGCTGGCTGGGAGGAAAGTATTTGTAGAAATCCCCAAAAAGAAGTACACAAGGCGGTTGAGAGAGCAACAGAAGAATGCTGAGGATGCTACTGAAGAGAACAAGTTCCCGAAAGACCAAATCCTGCATGATGTGGAGAAGGAAGAGGGGCAAGTGGAAAACAGTGTGAAGCCTGAGAATGAAGAGTGCAATGGCAACTTTGAATTAGAAGACAACTTTAAAAAATCAGAGGAGGATAAGAAGAAACGAGGTGGCAATTTCAAATGCAGCACCTGCAAGAAGGAATTCTTGTACGAGAAGAGCTTCCTCAAGCACATAAAGCACAGTCATGGCATTGCGGCTGAAATCATTTACCGGTGTGAAACCTGCAGTCAGACCTTTGCCAACCGGTGCAATTTAAAAAGCCACCAACGCCACGTCCACACCAGTGAGCGCCACTTCCCTTGTGAACTCTGTGGTAAGAAGTTCAAGAGGAAGAAGGACGTCAAGAGGCACATTCTTCAGGTTCATGAGGGTGGTGGGGAGCGTCATCAGTGCCAACAGTGTGGAAAGGGTTTGAGCTCCAAAACTGCTTTGAGGCTTCATGAAAGGACGCATACAGGCGACAAGCCTTATGGGTGCACAGAGTGTGAGGCTAAATTTTCTCAGCCTTCTGCACTTAAAACACACATGAGGTATGAACAGACTTAACTGGCCTTGTTAGATTCTGGTGGGAAAGGTAAAATCCACTGAAAGACATCCTGAACCCTCAAGTAGAGTGAGGATTTAAAAGGAGACTGACTGGAGGGTTTCAATATATCCCCTTCCAAAGTGTTTTCTTTCTAATTAGGGGAGCACTGTCATTTAATCTAAGCCCAAAGTATAGGTTTAGGCCCCGATCCAGCAAACACTTAAGCACATAAGTTTACTCCTGTGAGTAGTTCCATTGAAATCAGTTGGACTGCTCTCATAAGTAAAACTACACACATGCTAGATTGTTTGCGGGTTTGGGGCCTTATGTTTTTTTGAACTGAATTAAGAAACACTAAAATTAATAGTAAAATGTTATGCAGTGGGAATGAAAACCTTTTAAAAAATGTCAATATCCCCAGTGGTGTGTGTAACCCAAATAAAACAAGGACCAGGATGCTGCAAAAATACCCAAGAAGTGAAATTGACTAGAAACAGACCAATCTGGTGTCACTGTCAGCGAATTAAGTGCGGAAAGTAGAAACACAGCAGGAATGATGGGTAATAAAGCTTAATATTTATATAGCACTTAGAAAATGAGAACATTGTGCCTTTTCACATGGGACCCGTGAAGTCCGTGTGAGTTGTGTGTCTGTGAAGGCAAATTTGGCTCACTTGGGGCTTGAGACTGCAAGTTGATGAGCTACTGTGGCCCTGATGCTGCAAAGCACTTAAGCATGTGCTTAAAGGGAACTACTTGTTCTTAAAGTTAAGTACATGTGTAAGTGTTTTGTAGGATTGGGGCCAATGCCTTGTAGAATCAACCCCTCGCTAACCCTCAGAGCACACTCTGAGGTAGGGTAAGCGTGGGGAAACTGAGGTAGATGGTGCATTCCCCAAAATGTCACTTCCAGAGCTGGAACTAGAACTCTGGAATGTTCTGACATCACTAGGCCACTCTCTCCTCTGAGGTATGAAGTTCATTAGATCTTAGTCTCTTAATCTAAATGTACACCTCTACCCCGATATAACGCTGTCCTCGGGAGCCAAAAAATCTTACCGCGTTAGAGGTGAAACCGCGTTATATCGAACTTGCTTTGATCCACCGGAGCGCTGCTTTACCGCGTTATATCCGAATTCGTGTTATATCGGGGTAGAGGTGTACTACATACAGACAGGATGCTTTCTGTCATTATAGTCCCATTGAAATCAATGAGATTTCACATGATAGTAAACACTATGCCCCATAGTAAGCATTTGCAGGATTGGGTCCTAAAATGTTATTACCAACACAGATATAGATTTTTTATTTTTTTTTTTTTTTTTTTAGCATCACTCTTTAAAGTGTTGTGGCCACTTGACACTGAAAATCATTCACTAGTCAGGAAAATGAATGAGATTCCCCCTCTACCTGGTACCAGTATGAAGGGACAATAAGGATGCTCTCTCTGATGAGTTTATTGTTTAAGCATTGAGAAGGTGCTCAGCATTGTACGTGTCATGCATATCAAGACAGTCTCTGTCCTGAGAGCTTATCCTCTAGAAGACAGACCTAGAAAGACAAGACGCTTGGGAGGCCCAGAGGAAGGAGCCACTCAGATAATTACCTAATGTTTTCATTTTAATTTTTACATATAATCACCCCTGCTAATATTTAACTGAGAACTGATCACCTGGTATTTTTGTTCCTGCAGAACTAGTCAAAGGAGTCAAGTAAATCAAGTGTGAAGTTCATGTGTAGGCAGGAAGTTAAAGGTAGATGCAACTGAAGTGCAATTCTAGACCCTGATCCTGCAAGCTGCTCTGCATGGACACTGGACTTCACCCATGCAGATCTCGTTGCAGGACTGAAGCTATAATAAGGAAAATGACTGTATAAAAATGCAGTGTAGTTGTAGCCATGTCGGTCCCAGGATATAGAGAGACAAGGTGGGTGAGGTAATGTCTTTTATTGGACCAACTTCTGTTGGGGAGAGAGACAAGCTTATATAAAAATGGCATTTTCCTGTTCTGCTCCCTGTGTGTCTTCAGTCTGAGCCATAACCACTTACTTTACTTTGTAGGCCTGACAACCCTGCAGAGCCAGCACACCTAGGGAACAGCAAACCAAACTCTGTTCTGGCCCAGTAATCATTTAAAAAGAATTGTTAGCCAAGTTCTGATTGCAGAAGATGTTGGTGATGATATCAGAACCATAAAGATTACTGCTTGACTTTCAGATTCCAGCTGGAATTTAAAAAAACAGTTTATATTTTTATTACAATTAGGTAACCCTCTATAGCTTTCCCTCTCCATTTTTGTATTTGAAGTGTGTAAAAATTCAGTAGAGATTTTTAAGCTTACCAAAAACTTCTTTGGCTCAAATATTTCTGGATCCTGATCCCAAATTCTGGAATGTGATAGTCAGGCACAGCACTCTGCTTGTGTGGATCACAGCTCAGAATCGCGGCTCAATTAGGAAATCTTAGAAAGACAATTAGCACTGAACTCCACAATGCCAATTTTTTTAGTCACATTTCAGAGGATGACCATACAGTAAAAGTGACTAGTAATGTACTGTAGAGGAGAAAGAACCTTTTAGCTTAATGGTATTTTTTCATTTCAGAATCCACACTGGTGAGAAACCTTTTGTCTGTGAGGAATGTGGTGCAAGATTCACACAGAATCACATGCTTATATATCATAAAAGGTGTCATACAGGCAAGTTTCTTCTTTTGTCACCCTCCCCAAGTTAAAGGGGCATTAGGTGCAAAACTTATGTTATTTGGAACCTAGCTGCTGTTGCAGTTTGTGTTTGTGACATTATGTGACATATGTTTGTGACATTTAAAGTACGGGAGGGAAGGGGCAGGGAGAGAGATCATGATTTTGTGAATAGTTGTCTTTACCCAGGTTGCTAGGTTTAAGGAAATGTACAAAAAAGAGTTAATTTTAATTAGCATTTCCTAAAGAAAAAACCAACACAAGACTTCAATAAAACACCAGCTGTATAAATAATTGCAGCCATCTGGATACTGAGTAGATCAGGAGCTCCAGTGTGAAGCACAAGTATATTTTTGTTGCATATTCTGCTTTTCTGTATAGGCGTTAGAGCATTTTTGAGAGAGACGGTGCGGGGGGGGGGAATCTTCAAAGCTTCACCCGTAACATTTTCAGAATTTACTGCTGTAAAAACAAGTTTTTAAATGTGCCCTTATCAGAAATATTGCAGAATGCCACACCTTCCCTTCATCACAGCTTTACTGTCATTTAGTTTAATGAACTAATACTGGTCTTCAAAATGCTTTTAAAAGGAGCTCCAAAGCCCCCGATAAACCCAACTATTTGCTGTGAATGGCAGTAAAAAGGTCTTTTTTGTTTTTGTTTACAAAGGGCTCATTCATAGACACCTTTGCACAGTCTGCATTTTGCTCTCTTATTTCCCTGTGTGGTCTTTGCTTGTGGGCGGGCAGTGGGTAGAAGTGGGCAAAGCCTATTAAAGGGAATAAAAGTTTCCCATGGGCTTCAATGGACTTTGGATCATGGGTAGCTGGAAACTGCTTTGGAAATTCAGTCCCATTGTTAGTAAGGCTTTATCCTAATTATTAAAGCTAAATATGAACTCACGTTCTGGGCAAACATGCAGCAATTAACCTAAGAAACATAATTTTAAAAGTGGCTTATTTTAACCTGTAATTACCTACTTCATACACTTGCGATTAAAATCACATATGCGGGATTGACATTGTACCACCAGACTTCAGTCATGTGTGGGGAATTTCTTCTTTTCCTTTTGCATTTCTTACCCAAACGTGTTAGAAATCTCTCCATCCCCCCTGCTCATGGACTCTTCTGCCATGAACAACTGTGAGCTGGCAGAAAATGTAAAACCAGTGACATGTTAACACAGGGAAACTTGCTTTAAGCAACAACTGAACGTCGGCTAATTAATGGAGTGGCCTTCTAATAAGCGTGAGCAGGACTCTGTTCAGTATGGGCCTGAGCCAAAGGCCACTAAGTTAGTGGAACGACTCCAACTAACTGAAGACTTCAGTGGGCTTTTGTTCAGGCCCTACATTTGGGGATATTTTGGTGTGCTCTGAGACGGGAGGTTCCTTCTGAGAGTGGTGCCTCGTACAGCTTTCTCAAACAGGCATATTCCGTACCTGATAACGCAGCTCTTCCTCCCCTGAGCTAGGCCCACTGAAATCCCTTTTGACATTGACCTCTGTTTAGTTTGTATATAATAGCTCGGTGTTTGCATGTGATGCCTAATGACGTTCTAAAACATTCCTTTGTTTTTTCCTTCTCCAATTCACCCTTGCTGTAGGGGAAAGGCCTTTTATGTGTGAAACATGTGGGAAGAGCTTTGCCTCTAAGGAGTACTTGAAACACCATAATAGAATACATACCGGATCCAAGCCGTTTAAATGTGAAGTTTGCTTCAGAACATTTGCACAGAGGAATTCGCTTTACCAGCATATTAAAGTTCACACGGGTAGGAAACATTTGTTTGGAAAGTAAAGTGCATAGGATAGTAAAGTGTATCTATAGGTCTAAGTCTTAGGACTGTTTAATGTTGAGGGACTCCTTTAACCAAGAACTTTTATTACTTGTAAAAGTACTCACCCTTTGTAGAACTCTTAAAACTATTTTTAACCAGTGGTGGTGGTTCCTCCATTCCTTTCCTCTTACCCCGTCCTCCAAAAATGTGTTCTCCCGCTGATTGTATAGCAGCAATTAACTAGCAAGCATTTCACAGAGCTGTGCTGATACCTCGTTACCGATGCTGATGCCACATAACACGCAGAGAAGTTTATTAGTAAATAAAGAGCCGTATCCACTTTAGCTCCATTCAAAACACAGCAAAGAGCAATGTTGTCTTTGCAGACTTGTCCTCCCACCCACCTTTCCTGCCGGCTTCCTCTTCCCAGTTTGTGTTTAACTCTGCCTGTACCTTGTTCTCTGTCAGTAGAAGCAAAATGGCCATGGGCACAATTGCATCTCTGCTCAGACGCAGCCTTGCTTTCCTACTGGTTCCACCTGAACCATGCAACTCTAGTCAGTGTCAGGCTGCTGCCAGAGTCTCCAAGCAAACACTGTCTACTGCCTTTGCTGATTGTGTCCTCGACATTGTCTTTGACTCTACACTCTCCTTCGCCCATATCTTTTATAGCAATCGAGCTGTCTATATGGCTTCCTCCATAACTTCACCTGTATCTATATCAGCCTCAGTTCTACCCCTGCTGAAATCTTCATCCATGTCTTTATCTCCTCTTTTGTCTGGTGGAGTGCGGCTTAGTTTTCAACACTGCAGCATGGGGCGAATGTTTCTGTCTAGCTTTGCTCATGTACAAAGTGCAGCCTACACTATAACCATCTAGTTGCTTTCCACTGCAAAGCCAGCTTAATATTGTCCATAGTTATAAAATTCTCTCTAGACTATCTTCAGCTAGCTCGAAGTCACTGTCTACTTTCCTCCCCTCAGCTTGTCTAGCACTGATCTCTTCTCTGTCCCTGCACACAATCCTACCATTGATGCTAGAGCCTTCTCCCCTATATTGCCTGCCATCTGCAATACCAACCTTGTCTCTCTCTGTCTCATCACATTTGCATCTATTTTCAAATCTTCTGAAACCCCTACTTTCTTTCCCTGTGCTGTCATTTAACCCTGTGGCTGTATCACAAAATGCTTTACTAGGGTAAATAATAAATCATGGGTGAAAGACACTTTAGACTAAAGTGCATTTTACCTGCTGAATGGTATTGTGATCTGCTTTGGTAGATTTACAGAGAGAAACCAGAGGGTGTAATAAATCCCAGAATTTCTGCCCTAGGTAAATATGAAAACTCCTGTATTTCAGGCCAAAGCTCAGCTGATGTAAGTGCTCTGTTGGCTTCAATAGAGCTAAACCGATTTACTCTAGCAGAGGATCTGCCCTGAAACTATAGAAATGATCTGTTTACCTTGGATGCATCAGTATAATTTTATGCAAATCTGAAATTCCCGCAAATGTATTTGCATGCTTTGCAAACATGCCTGTACTTGCCTAGTCAAATAAATGTGATACGAGGGCACGTTATGAGATTACCAAAGGAGCAGCACTCCAGGTACAGCTCAGAGGTCAGTCTAACCCTGTGTTCTGATTTCAGGTGAACGGCCCTATTGTTGTGATCAGTGTGGTAAGCAGTTCACACAGCTCAACGCATTGCAGCGCCATCATCGAATACACACGGGGGAGAAACCGTTCATGTGCAATGCGTGCGGGCGAACGTTCACGGACAAATCGACCTTGCGGCGGCACACTTCAGTAAGGACGGAGTCTTGCTCCAGACTCCACTGCTCATTCCAGTGGGCCTTATCTCGCCTTTCAGACATGCCCATGTAAAATGGGCCCGTTCTAGGAAAGGGCCTGTTGGCTTTAGAATACTTGAGTAAATGCATTGTCCCATTGAGGCCGACAGCTTTCCTGGGTTACAGTCAAATTAATCTCACTACTGGCAGCATAGCAAACACACAGCAGAAAGGACAGTTATTTTTCTCACTCTTTTGCTGACTCACCGTATGACCCTGATGCTGCCATTTCCCTGCGAAATGGGAGTGATCATACAGGGGGGCCGTGAGAGACTTCACTCATTGGGAAAGATACTTTGCTTTGCCAAGTTTACACTTGATGAAATGGAGCAAGGGAGCCCATCAGGGACCTGATTGGAGCTCCCTGATTTTCTACCTGGCCCTGGGACAAGCTAGAGCAGCATTGGGGCTGTTCTTTTCTGCGTCAACTTACAATAGCTCAGGCCTCTTCTCCCTGTCTCCAGAGAGATGCCATAGGAGTCCACTTTGCTGACTGTGTGCCTGCTTCCAAATCCCCGTGGAGGATATAGCAAGTCCCCCTCCTTTTGACACTGCCTGAGCCGTATAAAAGCCGGGGAGCAGAGCACAGAATCTGCCCCATTATTTGTAAACATTTTTAGATCCTTGGCTGGAAGCTTCTGTCGAAAGGCAAAGTGTTGTCATTCTAAACTGCAAGTGCTGAAAATGTATTGTGTTTGTTTTTAGATACATGATAAGAATACACCCTGGAAGTCCTTCCTGGTTATTGTTGAAGGAGTGTCGAAGAACGATGAAGGTCACAAGACAGAGCTTCCTGATGAAGAGTATCATGTGTCACCTAAAATAACAGACAAGTTGCTGTCTTTTTCTGAACATGGCCACTATCAAAACTTGACTGCTGTCCCAGGGAGTGTGACTGCACTGCACGACAACAGTTCTACCATCGTGACAGACTGCAAATCGGATGGGACTGTGGGACCCCAAGAAGCCCTCATAGCTACCACCTTAAGTGAGCTTACGGTACTACATACACAGACAGATGCTATTCAGCCACAGCTCCATGCTCTGGTGAATATGGAATAATTTGGTATTTTTCACCAACCCAGCCTAGGCCATACCTCTAATAACTTCTGACTTTGCCAGTAACCTAGTGATGTAATTAGGAGAAAGCATTGACCCGAAAGGAAGAGGGACTAGTTGTGGATGACATTCACGGCGTTTATCTCCTCCTCACCCTTAAAACACCACAAATCAGTAATCTTCAATTTGCATAGTCTAGCGGTAGCTCCTTTTCCCGGCTGATAGTTATTATTCTACTTTCTTCATTTCTTGATTTTTCTGTACCCTTTGTTATGAACATGTGAAATAATACAATCACTTCAGAGAGCAGTTAACCTCAAGCAGAGCATATGAAGACCTGCCATTGTTTTAATCTCTGGAAATCTGACCAGGCAGTCTCCTCTTCGCTACCCTTCCTGCAAAGGTGTGGTAAGCCCTTCTTCCTTTTGTTCAGATGGCTTGAGTGCAGCTCCCTTAGAAAGGAGGGTGTGTGGGTTTTTTGTTTTGTTTCCAATTCGATTCCACAACATGTGTGAACAAATAGAAATACTGTGTTGTTTCTGGGCCTAACAGTTAATGGAATTAAATACACTTTCCTAGTAAAAGTTCATAAGTAGAAAATAAAATTCTGTTAAATTTCATTTCAGGAAGTGTTTTAATCTTGGCTTTGCCAAAGATTCAAGCAGAATCATTTTAGTATTTGGAAAAACCAATGGGAGCAAGCGTGGGAAACGCATGGAGTTACATTCCAATAGTTTTTATTTTTCTGTTATAAAATAGCTCATATACTGTTATGGAACGCACTCCAATAAGAAGTGTCAGTTGTGAATTAGCAGGATTACTAATCTAGTGATTAAAATAACTCACTAAACAATAAAGGTAAATTACTGCTTCATTGTCACCAACTTTTACACTAAATTTGCACTCTTAAACTCTGATCTTGCAACTGGCTCTACTGGTGCAGATCTGTATTGAGTAATGTGGTTCCATTTGAGCACAGGGGTCTCTCCTGCTGGATTCATTTGTGGGATAGGGGCCTTGGGGTACAGGTGATAAGTGGGATACATTAAGGCCATTCAAGTAGTTTCAGGCTCCAAATTTTACTTTTGAAAAGTTTTTACGAAACTTGTAAAGAAAAACATCTTTGTGGTTATTTCAAGAAGCCTTTTCTAAGAGTCAGTGTTGGAAATGCAACCACTGCAGCTTTGGGCTAGTGCCTGGAAGTGCCCAACCTGAGGCAAATGCCAAAAATCAATGACATCAGTGCTGATGTTTATATTTTTAAAGCTTTTGTTTTCCTGATTAGAATGGTATTTAGTATCTGAGGTGAAAAATTTAGCAGGAAGATACTGACAATGTGCCTTTTTTAAATGTCAAGGAAGGTAGTGCTTGCTCCAAAATCCATTCAGGCAGTAGGAGTCTTCCCATTGACTTCAGTGGGTGTTTGGAGCAGGCTTTCTGGGTTGAATTCTGCAAGCTATGCCGCCATGAATGATCTGATTGTCAGTGGCACTTCTCATGGGTGTTGTGTTAACCTGGTAAGAGATTGCAGGATTAGACCTTTCTGTGGAACCCCCTTTCCCCTCACCTTCTACAAAAATCTGGTCAAGTTCAGGGTGTTAGTTTTTGTCCTAATCCTTGTTTTACAATGAGAATATCTTACAGGCAGTAAAGGGAACACAAGTGGGATGTCTCAGTACAACCAGTTTCTTTCCATTGCAAGGGGTTTCACTTTCCAAGTTAGTTTATTCTTAGTGAGGGAAAATGTATATCTTCATGTTCAGTTAACCTATCATTTACAATTTTTTCTTTATTTTGTGAGCAAATTATATGTGTTGGTGTGTTTCACTGAGCAGAGGCTGATTGGGTCAGTGAAGAAGGCTTGAGCCTGTTCCCGCTGATTTTAAGTGGAGCAGAATTAGCCCTATAGTTAAGAGTATTTTAAAATGAAGCTTTCAACAATTAAACATCTTAATCCCACTTGCCTTTTTTCAAAACCATTTTAGATCAGTACAATTGGTCAAGTTGATTAAAAAGTATCTTGCTACTAACAGAGCGATTAACTATTCCAAATCGGGCCAAATCTTCAGCTATGTCAGTTTATAGCAGCTGAGGATCTGCCCTTCTGATTTTTGCAGATAAGAAACCTTCACCAAAAAATGTAATAACTTTTTTTAAGCAGTTTGAGAAAAGCTTGCTGAAAGTTAAGCACAATCCATCACTATGGCCCACTCCTAAAAGACTTACTGGTAGGCAAAGCAATAAAAATAACCAAACTGTGGACCAGAGTTTTGGGGGTTTTTTTGAACCTTAAAGGAGCTTTTGATGTTACCTTTGACCCCTAGCTTAATCCGGGAAAAGGGTTTAAAAAAATAGCTTTCCAGGAGGTTATATTTGACATATTTATTCAAACATTGTGTTCCTTGAGAGTGTTGAAGTTCAAATGATTCCTAATGACCAATGTACAGTGTAGATATATTTAAATCCTGAGTATTAGTATCTGTAGACAAAGGAAATTTTTGTATTCCATGAATGTATGGAAGTGAGTAACCTGTACGAACTATTAAATCCTCTTAAAATATTGAACTAGTACTGCCCTTTTTGTAAGTGACTTGCTTGGAGTACCAGATGTTCCTCTTCCCTGAGAACTATGCATTGTATATTGCAGAGATCTTATGATTACAGTAGCAGGCCCCTGGGTACTTTTGCATTAATTCTACAGAAGTTGCTACTGATCACCTGGTGCCTTAGGCCTAAATCATTCCATTGTTCGGTACTCTGTTTTGCTTCCATAGTGCTGATTAAAATTATTGCAGGAATGTTATAACATGCATCAGAAAACTCTACAGGACTCATTACTTATTTTCACAAGTGAACAAAGTCATAGTGTAAGCCTACAAGAACTTTAGTTGTACAGACTTATTTGTATTTAGGATAGCTGTTCTGTGCAAGGTGAAATTCAGTGCACAGCATTCTGAAGAGTTACACACTAAATATGCAGAATCTGGAACCACTTGCTGCAGAGCACTCTTTAAAGGAAAGGGGCTTTACTGTTAAAAATACAACTCCTATCAAACCAGGGAGTTTAAGTGTATACCAATAGCCATTCACCAGAGAAGAATGCATCACAATTACTTAATTTTTATTTTATTGATTCACACAAAACAATCTGTTCCTGCTAAGGCCATTTCATTATTAGTTTTCATAGTACAGATTCTTGACCCGGGGGGAGGAAAAATAACAGCCTGACAGATTTGCTCTATGATTTGAAAACTGATATATCACAGCTTACAACAAATACTTACATTACAGATGACATGCTGCTCTACAAAATCACCAAGGTTTGCATTTAGACAAAACTATTACATTATAGAGCGCATTAATAACAGATCACAGATTAGTACATAGAGTTCTGGTACATCAGCAATTTATGCATACTATCATAATTGTGCAAAAATACTGTTTGTAGGTCCTGGAAAAAATAAATTAACCACAAATGTAACCAGTGCCAAGTTGTGTTTTTAAACAAAAACTTTTCCACAATTTCTGTATTAACAAAATGTGCCTAGTGTGTGATGATACCTGTGTAGGATTTTCACTAAGCTTGGCTGAGCTGTGTTTTATCTGATCTCAAATTATATGTACTATGGCAAGACCAGATGTAATCAAGAACTATGTTATGAAACATGAAAAAACTAATGCCCCTCTACTAAACAAAGCTTGACATCTCATTTCTTCTTACACAAGTGCTTTTTCAAATATTTAGGACTACTGTAGCCTTTTGTTTTTCTAAACGTAACCATGCATCTATTTTCCTCTCTGTAGAGAGACAGCTGAGTCAGCACTCACGTGTGACAAATCCACCCCTGGAGCAACAGCTATGGTGACCTAACCCCCCTGTAGCTGCAGTTAGATCAACAGGAGAATGCTTTTATCAGCTTATGTACTAGTGCTCAGGGCCATGGTTTTCCTACAGTGACAGAAATAGCTGTAGGCTACATCCACACTATAGGATTATGTTGGCATATATCTGTTTAAAGAAAAGTCGGATTTGTTCAGGCATGGTTCCCTAGAGGGAGACCCAAGTCAGCCATTTCTAATGTGACCAGCCACTGTAAGCAAGTGTTAATCACACAAGTTGCAGCTTTTTAACTTTTCCTAACATATTTGAGTCTGTTGCTCATCAGAGCCAGCTCTTCCCGGTCCCCTTTTGGCCACACATCTCCATCGGACAAACCTAGCACGTTTTCCCTAAGATTTTCAAATTCTTGAGGAGGGAAAAACGATTTTATACAATTTCAATGATAACTCACTAGTGGTGTTCATTCCAGTTACAAGAGAAGTCACACTCACTACAGCGCACAAAGCCCTCCCTGGTTTAATTTCTAAATACATGTCTAGAAAACAATCAAATAGAAGAAAGTTTAAATTGATTGTTGATATGAGTCAAAACATCATCTTTCCTGGAATATATTATCTCATTTGGTCTCCTATCTGACATTTTCTGTAAACAAATGCTAGAAGTGTGCTGGCCTGCTAGGGTTACTATACATCCGGCAATAGTCATTCAATCCCATTTTATTAAGGAAAGCTAGCAGCACAAACCAAAAAAAAACATATTCGTAAAGATGACAAAAATGAAAGCCAGCTAGTACCCTGTTTGGAATGTGGGTTGGTCCATGCAGATTTGTGGCAGGTCTTTCCTCCAAAAGAGATCAAAGCCCAACCTAGGCCATAGATAGTAGCAGTACAGATACCAACTATGGGATACTAGTGTTTTCCTACTTTAGAGTATCCAATATTTATAAGGTCAAATGACTAGCAGCATTTATGCAAAATAAAGCTAGTAGCCTTTCATTATGTAAGCAGCACTGGTGATACAAGAATGAAATAATTCCTACAGCTTATTGGAACTGCACTGAAATATTACGCCATAACACTGAAACTGCATATGGTCATGAGCCTCACTGTCATACATATATTGAATATAGATAGCTTGTCTACGTCTCTCCATTGAAACTAGGAGCTACACACACACACAAACACAAACTGGGATTCACACACATTCTTCAAGATCATTTTTAATTTCTACATAGTTTTAAAACAAGTCCGCGCAAGCTGTTGTCCAACGGTGCTGAAGGAGGGTATCTTAGCTAAGATAAAGCCTAATTCAATAACTATTGACATACATACCATTGACACAGCTTTGCCAACAGCACAAAGGGAAGGAAATAGTGTTCTGGCATATACAAAAAACCTGCAGCAAAGACAATAGCAGGAACTTAGGTAAATGAAAAGTTAGAAAAATATATTATTACCTGTTAAAGTCATCTTAGGGCAGGAGAGATGGTATGCACAAAAAATAACGTAAGTGGAAAAATATATCCAAGAAAAAAAATAGAAGAAACTTACATTTCATATATAGTTCTTAAATAGAAAATACATGATAAGCTAGGTCCTATTTAATGAATGGTTTAGGGAGAAGGTAATTGAATATTATATGCAGACCCCTCACCGATGAAGATTAGTGTTTTTAGACCCAGGTCATTATGTATTTATTCATGCACACACGTATCTGTATAGTATATACACACACACATACACACTGTATCTAAAAATCACAAGCATTTCACTAGCATCATTAAAATAGCTCTATCATTTTAAAAACAAAAATCTACATGTCTCACTAAGGTCCATTAAAAACACAGAACTTTAGCAATACATTAGCATTAGATCTGAAAATATTGTGTGTACTGTATGTCATGGACAGATATTTACAAGCATGGATCAAAAGTGTTAAAGACAATGAGCTAGTAGAGAAATGGCGGCAAAAAAAAAAAGTTAAAAATGAAAGACTTTTGGCTCATCAGCTACCAAAAATAAAGATTTTTGCCACAAGCATTTCTTTCTCTGATCTCAAAAGTCTTGTGAATCCCTGTATTGCTCTCACATACGGAAGATCTGTCAGCAACACCTAGGAGTATCATTTCTTATCCATCCATGTCATCAAAAAGACACCAGGATACTAACAATACAGGTCATTTGGTTCATAAGCAACAAAATTAAGCTAGGTGTAGTGTCAAGTATCCCATAATGGTCCATGGCCATTACACAAAAACAGATTATTTAGGAGTTAGGCAACATGCCACATATACCACAAATAATTCACTTTAGGTCTCCATCACCATCTCCTTGAAGTGATTTTTTGATGCGAAGCAACATAGTCGTAAGCCACTGATCCAAGCGAGATATGGCATCAAATTCCTTAACCTAATTGGAAGGAAATTTAACACAGTTTAACAGAGGGCAAACGGGAATATTGCTATCACTACTCCTAGCAGTAAACTGTGCGCTACATTTCATTTGCGATTCATTTGTTTAAATTTCTGTTAGTTAAATATTCCTTAAACCACTAGTAAAGGGCTGAGCCAAAGCTCATTAAAGTCAGTGGGAATTTCAAACATCAAGCACAAAGAGGCCAGGATTGTTGGAAAAAGAAGGGAAGAGGAAGGAACTAGAGTGGGGAGTAAAGAGTCCTCAAAATGCAGTGATGACCAGTAGCGGAGCCCTGGTAATTTAGAAGAACCTCACCCAAGTTTTTTTTATATATTATTATACTTCAATGGGACTTAAGCGTGTGCTTCAGTGCTTTGCTGATGAGGGATGGTTTGCTGGATAGGGACCTTTAGACATTTTCAGCTGCTTTGTACTGCTGCAGTAGCCCAAGGCAGCCCATGCCCACTGGTGAATATGGTCTAGAGAAAAACTCTTGGGACCTGGTCGGCTACTGCACTGATTTCAGTGGCGTTACACTGTAAAACTGGAGTAACACAGTAGTGAATCAGGCCCTTAGATTGTAAACTCTTTCCATCAGTTCCTCATTTACACTAGGGCCTCTTTACACTGCTCTGTTTACCCTTCCAAAGTGGTGTGAAGTGGCTTCAGTGTACGTGGCAATCAGACCCTTTGCCTGTGTGTTTCGTACAGCACAGAGGATGCTGCCAGTGCTCAAAGAATAACAGTGCCCAGGAACGCTTGTGCAAGTAACTGAGCATGCAAAATTAGCATGCAAAAATGAAGACTTAGAGGGGGGCTCCTTTGAACTTTGGTCCCAGAATAGTCTGCCACAAATGGATCAGTGTACAACTTGACTACTTACTGCCTCAGTGTACGCTTCACAGTTTTGGTCCTCATGGGCTTCCAGCAGTTTCTAACAGAATTACAGTCAAGGGTTATACATTAATATTGAAAATGTATCACTTCAATTTACAGCAGACTCAGCACACGTTGTCTGGGTATTCTGTAACCCTGTGGTCTACAGATTATATCTAATGCTTTTCTCCATTAAGAAACCAAGAGAGATAATAAATATCCAATGCTTGCGCTTCACACAGAACGATGAACTCCTGAACCTGTTTAATCCAGCAATATACAGACAGTGTCTGATACTATCCAACAGGCCCTTTGGATCTATTGTTATAATATTTGCTTACACATAAATATCTACTTTCATTAAGATTATAATTTGTCTCTTTTAATTGCCTCCCCAGTTACACAAGTTGTGTACAATTCATGTGGGTGTTCTCTAATATATACAAATAATATGAACAGATTAACAGGATATGGTATGGGAAAGTGCCATTTTTTTTATTTTCCGACCAATAACTCAACTTTCAGTGCAACTGTATTTAACATCAGTTCTACTTACTTTCACTAGCTTGCACTCTCTCGAATCGGTGAATGCTGGGAACATTTCTTCATACTTCTCAAGAGCAAGCTGAAACAGAAGCTTGCTTTTCAGTTAAAATTACTAGAAAAAGCAACCATTAGGTTTCATCTAAATACAAGAGTTATTCTCATACTTATTGTCTTTGTTGCAGTGTATTAGGGTTAGGTTACATAAACAGCCTAACATAACAGATTCCGATAAAATCCCAAGAACACAAGGAAATTCAGATTTAAGGTCCAAACTTGGTCTTTGCCTAACTGGGAATGTGTCTAA